GGCAATTTCTGAATTCAAGATAGTGTTTGGATTTTCACTTACAAAATCTGTAAAAGTAAGCACTTTACTGCTTGATTTTGATCTACAATATAAGACAAATCTTCATTTATATCTTGATAGGATATCTTGGAGAGAAGACTCTATGTGCCTCCCAAATTGAAATTCTATTCAAATAGTTCAATTAACTTCTCTGACTGACTTCCAGCTGTTTCCAAGCATGAAGAATTAAACTGCCTATTCTAAAATGTGTCAGAAAGACCACAGTTTAGAGTCTCCATCAAAAACTGACAAAGCACTAAAGGAGCAGCCCTGCCACTGCTGGGCTTGACTGCTAATGAGAAGAGAGGACTGTGTTCAGTGTCACCTCTGAAAGCACCCAGAGCAAAATCAAGGAAAACCACAGGTTTGTAAGCACAGCCTGCAGCCAAAGTGTAACATATATGTACATCTTCTTGGTGTAACCCCTGTTCATTTGTTCTACAAAAGCCACTGTTACTGCACTAAAGTCTTTCATTTCCTCTGTCACTAGTGAATAGATGTTTACCCTTGAAGTTTGCAGGTTTTGCATGAAGGCATACCTGCTAAAATGTATTTCCATAGCCAAGTACTGCATGGAGAGGTGGGTTTGGAGAGGGTCTTATGGATCTTTTTCTAAAGCATGCATTTTCTCCACCCAAAAATATTCCATTAGGCAGGTACACTTCAGCAAGTTAAAATTACTTAAATCATCCTAAATGTCTGTAATTTCTACCTTACTTATTTTGTTATTGGCTCATCAAGGGAGAACACTGATATGTTAAATGTTTCCTTAGCCAAAAAAACCCCAAGTATAAAATCCATTCACTGCAGCCTGAATACCTGTGATTTATGGACTCTGATTCATCCTGACAGTTGATTAAAAATTCATGTCAGAGTCTGCATTAATGTTGGCCAGAAAAAGAAATGTGTTAAGGAACAAGAGTGCCACAAATTGCAGTTCCCACTGTGGGTGTGTTTAATGAAAGGCAGTGGTAGCATTTAACTTGCCAGGGAAGCATCAGTACATGTTACTAGATCCTTTCTCTTTTTCTAATCCGTTGAGCAAAAGTGTACTTGGAGATAAAAATGCACCTCTAACACTGATGTCACATTATGTTATTTTCCTTCTTTAATTTGCATACATTTTATGTATGTTGCAGCTTATGTGAAACTGAGATAATACAAATATTTTCTTTAAAAAGGGAGAAAATATAAATAAATTACTTTCCTTTTCTTTTATTTTTTCCTAATATGTACATATTTGAGATTAAAAACATAGTTTAATAACATGATCAATAAATAGCATTCTCTATAATGTCTTGGAGAAATTATCATTAAATCAGTAAAAGATAAAAAAAAGTTCTGAGTATTATTTGTCACTGCTCTGGTTATTTTGTCCAATAATGCTTCATTGCAAGTGGTAATATTTTCCAAGAAAATAACCAGGTACCTTGAAATTTTAATATATTAAGGGTCTGAATAAATAAAAGCAGCTGCTTTCCTCTTGGAATAAGTGTCTTCTACATTTCATTTCAGAACTGTTTATTTAGTATATATCCATGGCAATTTTCTTAGTGTCCTGTGTCCAGAAATATATTAAAGCTATATTAAACATAATAAACTATAATATAATTGAACATAATTAAACACAATGTTAAAGTTTTTAAAGACACACAAGATTCAAGATCATTAAATCGTTAAGATATTATCTGTATTTTCTACTGGAAATGGTTTTGCCTCTATCTCCATTTTTATAGGCTTTCAGGTGATATCCGTGCAGTGTCCTGGGTTGCACTGACAATGACGTTAAAGGTCAGTACTGGATAAGTCATTTGGACAGAGTGGTGGCTTTTGAGGGCAATTGAATAAATTCGGTAATTTTGGCTGTTAAATTTTTCATTGTGGGTTCTTTTTGGCTATGCATGAGATTGGTGCTTTGATTTTCCCATAGAATGAATTTAAAATTTTTATTTTTTTAAAGATGAGGAAAACAACAAAGGAAGCCATGTGGACAGCTAAGCCCTGCTCCAGACAATTTGTCTATTTGACTGCAGGAAAATTACTGGTATGGCACCAGTGCCCTTCTCAGCCACTTTGAGACTTGTCAAATTCTCCTTAGGCCTTTAGGGTAATGTTTGCATTAACCTTTTGTAATCAATAGGTATCAGAAGAGTTGCAAGGCTAGATTTATCTTGACTGCTGATGGTATATTCTTGGTAGAAAAAAATAACAGAAAATAGCTTAAAAACTAGCTTTATAGAAGAGTATCAACGGGAAGGTTAAGTTTCCAATCATGACTATCTAAAACTCCTGACTTGGCCAAACGTTTGATCCTCCCTATTCATTGACTGACCTGTTCATAATCAGGAAATTATTATGATGGAAAGCCTCATAAGAAGAAGAGGGTTGGTGTTTGCACTTCTACTCTGAGACTTGAGAGAGGAGGGTTCAGTTCTCAGCTTCATAGCAGATTTCTGGGAGTAGCAGCAGTCTGCCACAGCTATTTCAGTACCTCCAGCTGATCCAGGCACCCAGCAGAATTTTATAAAGTTTCCACCACAATTAGTGTTTTCTGCTGAATACCACCCCCCTGTGTATATCATAAGTCCTGCCGAATACCTTGTGGCCTTCAGCATGCAAATCCATTTGAAAACCTGGTTTATACCTCCCAGGGTTTCTTAGTGAAGAAATGTCTGAGCTGGACTTTGAAGACAAGTATACAGGACTGCACTGGTGAAGCTCTCATTGGATACAGCTTGGAGGGAGAGGGATGCTGTTGAAAGTGCAAGTCACCCTCCCACACCTCTATTTGAGGGCAAGTGATCCCTTCTCATCTCCGTGAGTGCCCTTATGAACACAGTGCTTTCTCTTCCTGCCACAGTCAAAATACAGATAGCCATGGGATTAACAACATGTCAGCTGATTTCCTGGGATTTCATGTGAAATTCTGAGGCCACACCCCAGCCTAGCTCTTTGAGTTCAGATACCCCCTATTTGTACCTTTCTAAATGCTAGCTTGTGATAATTTCATTTGCTGTTGTTCTTAGCACATTTTTACATTACAATATACCCTGTTGGTTCTTAACTACTCAGAACAATTGGCTATTGCAAACATAGTTTAGGTGTAAAAATTGTCTACATGGCTGTTTCATGAAGTGAAAGAATAGAATATTGCTAATATTCAACTGTAAAGCAGTGGTAGTTTATTTGTGAGGCCATAAAAGGCATTTAACAACCTGGTGAATCCCAGATAATTTCAGACCACATATATTTCATGTACACAGGGGACTTAAAATTGAGAAGAAAATAAAATAGTTTCAGCAATCTGTGATGGAAGTAACATCAGTGCTGTACAGAAAGCAAAACTGGTGTGTTGTTGAGGATAGCTAGATCAGTGGAGGGCCCAGTGCCCAGGGTCATGCCAGTAGGCTTGGCAGGACTGCAGAAAGTCCCTGCTTCATCCCATTAGTGGGATTTTTCTGCCTCAGCTGTGCTGACGTGCATCCTTGTGGGGCCATGCTGCACGCTGTGTCAGGGCTGATCTGGGCTGCAGAGACAACTTTATGTGGAATTCAACAGTGATCCTGATTTTAAACTTGTATCACTCAGAGAGTCAAGCTCCCAGCAGAGTCACAAATTGCTTTATGGGCTTGGGTTGTGGGGACTCAAAGTGGGAACATGTTGAGGTGCTCTTAGGTTGCCAGCCCGTTGCAAGAGCAGTGATGCTTTGGCATGATCCAATTGTGAAACCATGTGGAAATCTGTGATTGAAAGCATTTCTGATCTGAATGCAGAATTTGGAGGGGCTTCTCTGACAGACTCATGACCCTGCAAAACAGACTGTGATAAATGTATAGGGAGTGTTGGATGCAGTGTACCTCCCTTTTTGCAGTGTTTACAGCAATACCATCAAGATAAGCCTCAGTAGTGCTAGAACCTGTGTTTATGTCAAGCCATGGAACACATTTTACATATCTCACCAAGATTAGTATGTGGAAACATACTGTGTAATTGGTTTCAGTTGAAACCTTCACCAGATCCATCTGACTTCCCTCTTGGCAAACAGAAGGAAAGAGCAGAAGAAAACACAGCTTTCTTGTTACTTTTTTTGCCAAAGCTGGACAAATCAGATGGCTGGGCAATCACCAACCATAGGAAGTTCAGCAAGTAAAGGGCCAGTTTTTGCACCTGGGATGGGGCAGCCCTGGGTGTACAGACAGTCTGGGGAATGAGAGGCTGGAGAGCAGCACTGTACAAAGGGCCCTGGAGGTCCTGGTCGATGGAAAGTTGGATCTGAGTCAGTGCCCTGGCAGCCAGGAGGGCAACTGTGTCCTGGGGGCATCAGGCACAGCATCACCAGCTGGGCAAGGGAGGGGATTGTCCTGCTCTGCTCTGCTCTGGGGCGGCCTCACCTCCAGTGCTGGGGGCAGTTTGGGGTGCCACACTATAAAAAAGACATGGAGCCATTAGAGAGTGCCCAAAGGAGGGCCACGAGCATGGTGAAGGGCCTCGAGGGGAAGTTGTATCAGGAGTGGCTGAGGTCACTTGGTCTGTTCAGCCTGGAGGAGACTGAGGGGAGACCTCACTGCAGTTATAATTTCAGCAGGAAGGGAAGCAGCAGGGCAGGCACTGATCCCTTCTCTCCAGTGAGCAGTTATGGGACCTGAAGAAATGGCATGAAGCTGTGTCAGGGGAGATTTAGGCTGGATATTAAAAGATTTTTCACCCAAAGGGTGGTTGGGCATTGGAGCACCCTCCCCAGGGAAGTGGTCACAGAACCAAGCCTGACAGAGTTCAAGAAGCATTTGGACCAAGTTCTCAGGTACATGGTAGAATTCTTGTGATGTCCTGTGCAGGGCCAGGAGTTGGACTTCAGTGATCTTTGTGAGTCCCTTCCAACTCAAGATACTCTGTGATTCTATGATTGCCTTTTGGTGATCACTTGTTTTACTTAAGCTTCCTTTTCTCTCTCTGCCTGATAGGCTTAGAAGATGTTGTAGCAATAATGATTCCTGAACCCAAAGGAAAAGAGATAGTGAGCCTCCTGGAGAGGAACATTACTGTGATGATGTACATAACCATCGGGACACGCAACCTGCAGAAGTACGTCAGCAGGACCTCAGTGGTGTTCGTCTCCATCTCCTTCATTGTGTTGATGATCATCTCCTTGGCATGGCTGGTCTTCTACTACATCCAGAGATTCCGCTACGCAAATGCCAGAGACAGAAATCAGGTGAGCAGGGCTGGAATAACTGTTTGTGTTTCTGAAAATAACCACAGGACTTATTGCAGAAGTAGAAGTTAAAGAAATTGTCAATGCATAGTAAAAACAGAAAACCAAAAGAAAACCCAAGAAAGTGAAAAGAATAGGAATATAAAAATTACTCTGGCTGGGAAAATCCAAGACTTATGTCAATATAGATGGGGTTCAAGAAAAAAAAATAAATTAATAGTGTATGTATATTATGGGTTTTTTTCCTTATGCAAAACACAAAAAAATAGCAAGGTGATGTTTATTTGTGAGAATATTGTTGTGGTACATATAGCCAAAAGTCATAGCAATGTATATAACTAAGGACTCTTGAGCTCAAAATGCTGACTAAAACATTGTGAGGTATGTGTGTGTGAAGCAACTTTCATGATAAGTGGAGAAAGGGAAAAGAAACCTATTCTCACTCTAATGCTTCTTTAGAAGTGTCTTGGGCTAGAAAGACAAACTCGTCCCTCTTCATTTGACAATGATCACTGAACAGGACTGTAGTGATAGCCACTAATGTTATTAAACCATTGTTATTGGTTTTGGCATCTTGTCCAAAGCCCTTGAAAAAGATAAAAAGCCTATAGAGCTGAGGAGAAGTCAGTAGCAGTGGTTTTATAAAGCACTGCCCATCTTTATGGTAGTTCAGCAGTGAATAATAATAGCAACAATAATAATATATTTAATACTTTCTTGGCCAAAGGCATCTATCTCAGCAGAACTGGGAAGCTTAGGCTTGTACATTTAATTCTAATGGTACAGTAGAAAATGTTATCAATGTATGAAATTTGAAGAGATAATCATTTTACTGCACTGTAAAAAATGCACTGTAATTCAGAGAGGTTTCTGAACCCTCAATAAATTGCTGTCAGGGCGAAGAGGGTTGCCTTACTTATTCTGCAGAAAAGGTAAAACTCAGAGTATGAATAATCATCTTGTAGTGAAAAGCCCTGCTACACACACTGTAACAAATACTTGATATGTAGGAATCCCTCGCTTTCCCCCATTGAAATTCAGGCATCCTCTGAGACAGAGAGCAGCTACTCTGTATTTACAGACAGAAGGAATGTATTTTCCATTTAAATATACAGTCTGAAATTTTGGATAGCAAGAATGAAACTATCCCAGCTGGAATTTGAACATCATTGGCAGCAGATTCACTGTGAATCTCCAACGGCTGTGATAATTTTTAGATGCTTTGTCTGCAAAAGCACAAGCATGCCTAATTTGTGTGTGTGAGTAAGTGTACTTTCAGTCAAGTAATTATACAGGCAGCTTAGCAGTGTAAATAGACATACATAAACATGAAACTCAGCAAAATAAGAAGCTCATTCAGGTAATATGTTATAATTTGAAACTAATGTGTTTATATGTTCAAACATATTTCCTTTTCAGTATTTTCTTTCCAAAGTTTGAGACCACATGTACACAAGCAGTTGTCCTATGGAGGGGTTTTAATAACTTGGTTATTATACTAGTTCTGTTCTTTAGAAGAATTAGAAAGGGTGCTTCCTAAGTAATTGCATATTAATAAATATTACTATTATTATTTTGGAGGGAAAAACTTGGCAATAATAAGGGGCATCCTAAAAAGTCTTCATAAAATTTTCTTCATACAGTTTTATCTGACATCTAATCTCTTTATTTGCTCTTTTCATATGAAAATGGTAGCAATATACAAGCTAAACCCTATTATTTGTGTTAATGGGTTTCTGTGGCTTTTTAGTTTTGTTTCTTTTAGTCCTGGCTACGGAATATAACAATGTAAGTAGTTCAGAAGAGCACAGCTTGCTCTTGCCCTTTCCATCCATGAGTGTTCCTTTTTGTTTTCCATCAAGTTTTGGTTGTTTTTTTTTTCTATGACACATTTTCTTGTAGCTCAAAGATGGAATCACAAATTTCTGATTAAAACCATACTGTCCTTTTGTCAAGCTTTATAAACGCTTTTGTCTAGTTCTTCTCTATGTGGTAACTTTCCAGATCCACTTCCCTTCTTTCATTAGGTGTAAGTTTCTGAGCAAGCAGTAAATCCAAAATGAACTGTTTTAGTTATCCATCAAGAAAGCAATGAGTCCAGCCATGAGAGAGGCAGCTAGAAAGACTGAAAAAAATATCCTGGAATAATTTCCTGTGACTCCACAGTGAGATGAAACCTGGACATAATCCATCTACATCTTCAGCCACCACTCTTCCTTATCATGTGTGCAAAATCTAAGTTGATGTACCAGAAGGAAGATACAGCTTACTCCAGTTAGGTGCCTGATATTGATGAGTGGAGAATCAGGATTTCAAAGATTCTTGCTGAATGTCAGAGCCTATTCATCCCAACTTGGCTGGGAATCAATGCAGTAGTGCACAGAATTGTCTTCCACTATGGGCTTGTGCACCTACAGCCAGGGTGTCGCTACAAACACGATGAGATATCAATTTTTATTTTAATACCTATAATTTTTAAGAGTACCTCTAGCACACACAGCTGTACATTACATACGGAAGTAGAAGACAGGTGATATTCACATGATTGAACCTTTTTTTCCCACCTAACAAGACATCCAGGAAGTTGGTCATTGCCTTGATGATAAATCCTTTTGACATGAAGAGAATAAATTTGTGTAAGAAAATCTGTTTCCTCAGCAGCTGGTTCCTGGAGGGCTCCAGAAGATGAGGGAGTTGAGAGATTTCATAAAAGGCTGTGGAAATTGTTTAAATCAAGAAACATCACATTGCAGAGCTAATTAGAAGCAGTTTAGAATTACATGACAAGTTCCAGAGATAATTCAGCAAAATATGACCTGATGTTACAGCCCTCTAACAGCCAGGGCACAGACTTAAAAACAGCTACAACAACAACAAACCAACCCTGCCAGTCTGTCAGATTTCATATTTCACCAGCAATAGCAGAGTTTCCTTTTTATTGTTTGTGAGATGGGAAAATGAAGAAGGGATGATGTTTCAGTGTCAGATTTATTTACCACATTTTTTCCATGTGCCTTCTTTCCATGTGGCTTCTTGTACAGAGGAAGTTTCCTACACAGTCATTTTGAAACTGGTTGGACTCCTTCAGTTTTGCAGGATAGTGGAAGCCAAAGCAGGTCCATTGCACTGGACTTGAAGAGAATCTTTCATGTCCTAGGTGAATCTTTAGTATGTGATTGTCAGCATATAGAGCATTTATCTGAGAAGGAAGACTGGTGGCTGTGGCTTGGAATGAAAGTTTTGGGCCACTGAATAAGGGTGTCAATCTTTAAAGCAGTTTGGGAAGATGCTTCCCATGATGGAGTCTGCAACCTCTGTCTGTGGATAGATGTGTCTGATACCTCGTGCTGGTGATGCATCTCGTTCTGCACAAGGCACAAGGTGATCTCCTGCAGAGATGAGGGTTTAGTAAGACCATTAAGGGAGAAACACTTATTCTGACTTCTCTTCCACAGCATTTACGGTCATTTACTTTCTCAGGAACACATAAGTGGTGCTTTCCATGCGACTGTCCTTCCTATTTAATGAGCACTGCCATCTCCTCAAGACCACTGCATCTGACATGCTTAACTCCTTCAAGTCCAGTACTGAATGTTGCAGCATTGCTAATGAGATTATGAGATTTATGACTGTAAATCTCTAAGCCTCAATTTAAACCCTTAAACTGCTGTAATGCCTCTTATCTTTTAGGAAAAATAATTGGTTATTGATAGCATGCCTTGCATTCAAATGGGAGAATCCTTTGAAAGTATGACTTTAGTCCAAGAAATTCCTGTTCTCTCACAAACTAAATTACTCTCATTTACATGTAAGTTATGAACTTATCTATTTACAATAGATAAGAGAAAGCAAATATTAAAGCAAGCAGATCAAAGATGTACATGAGTTTTTGATCTTGTCCCTTCCCCTTCAAGAATGTGCAAAAAAGAACTGAGATATTTCATTTATTAAAGTAATAATAATGATAAAAAGGGATCACAAGCACTTTCTGAAGCATGACATAATGGCTCTTGTCTTGCTGTATGTTATCAGTCTATCTTTGATTTACATTAAAGAACCAAATAGCTGACAAGAAATGTTTCCAACTCTTATTTATTCTTTTAAGGGAGACTCTGAGAAAAATGGACCACAGAAAGAGACATTGTCTAACTACAAGATACTCCTTCACATACAATAATTAAGTTGCTGGAAAGCTCATATATAAATCTCCTGATAGTCCAGATTGTTTTCTCCTCTTTAGCCAGATCTGAAATGGCACTCTGCTTTAAATATTATATTACATGTGTTTTGTCAGCCTTTCCAATCCAACAAGCTTACTCTCTAAATTTAATCCAGTGATTTTAATTTAATCTGAAGACCAAAGGGGCAATTTACTGGTCATATCTGTGTGGTGATTAGGTCTCAAATTATAACTATAACTATAACTATAACTATAAATATAAATATAAATATAAATATAAATATAAATATAAATATAAATGCATAGTATAGTATAGTGTAGTATTTATATAGTATATAAATATAAATATAAATATAAATATAAATATAAATATAAATATAAATATATAGTATAAATATAAACCTTGAACTTCCTTCTTTTTTTGGCCTCATGCTCTCACTCCCTCCAGCTGGAATCCTTCCTGCTGACAGGCCCCTCTGAATTCTGGCACAGGAGTTTCCCAGCTCAGAGAGTTGAATGTCTTCTGAATCACCAAAAGCCCTAAGTCTGTCTCTTCTCTGCAACACATGGCTGGAAATGTCGTTGGGGAGAGGAGGAGAAGGGAAGAGTCCAAGTCATTTATTGGTGGCAAATTGGAGCACACTGTATCATGAACTGTTATAAAGAAGGCATTGGAGTGGGCATTGCTGCATGAAACCATGTGAGAGAGGCATAGGAAAAATGAGGAGTGTCCAAAGCAGGGTCACCAGTATGTTGGATGCAGAAGCACATGGAGGGGTGAAGGGAGCATCCTAAGCTGGGCGGGGAGCCGAGCAGGAGGAAGGGCTCTGCTTCCAGCTGCAAAAAGGGTGGTCAGAGAGGAGTCAGAATCAGCCTCTTCCTGGAAGTGCACAGGGTAATGATCACAAATTACCAGAAAGGGAAATTCCATTAGTATGTTTAGAGAAGAAAAAAGGCTGAGATTTGTTAAGCACTGGAACAAATTATCCACAGAGGTTGTGAAATCTCCTTTCTTGGAGATAGTCAAAACTTGACTAACACAGCTCTGACTTTGAAGTTGACCCAGCCTTGAGCGGGGGCGGGAATACATGACCTCCCAAAGACTTTTCCAGGCTGTGAGTCTGTCTCCAGACTGCCTTGGATTGGCACAAGTGAGCAGCCAAGTCCTTGGAGCAGTGATACAGGAAGAAGCTCTGTAACATGGGGTGCTGACCAGTGGCTGTGTGATTGGCCCTGCGATGTTCCCAGCCTCCTGCAAGGAGCAGATATGTCCATCTTCAGTGTCTGAGGACAGGGTGTTTTGTGTCAGGCTGTTATTACATACTTTATTCCTGGTGGCTGTGACCCTGCCAGCGCAGTAACAGTGTTTTGGAAATATGGGAGAACAGTCAGAAACATCACGTGGTAATCACTTTATGGTCCACTGGAGGGAATGATAGAAAGGCAAAGAATGAGCAAATGGTTATGTATGGGCAGGATGTTACTGCAGGACTATACAGTGCTTTACCTGTAAGAAACTGCAGATGCTTCCACCTCATCTTTATAATGTAGGCAACTGTGTGTTGCAGGAAAAAAGACAGGAGAGATTATTCAGAATTATTGTTTATAAAAAATTAACAGGTCACTTTCAGAAGTTGTATCCTGCTGAAGATCATGAACTAGCTATGGAACAATGAAAGAAAAAGTTCAGCATTCACTGCACTATCTGCCCAGTATTTTTTTTTTAACAAGTGTCATTAAAAAAAGAGAGGGAAGAAGTAGGATAACCAAATAATGGACTTGTTGCCTACACTGGTAGGCACTGCTGCAGTGTAGCACACCTACTGTGCCCTTTTTATGAATTATTATGTTTATATTTATACATTATCCTGTTACATGTATTTAAAATTATTAAGTAGCCTAGGGAGAAAAGGGTTTTGATTTCTGCATGAAGAGATGATCTTTGCTTAAGAGCAAATTTTTTATTGCAGCGCCGGCTTGGAGATGCTGCGAAGAAAGCAATCAGCAAGCTGCAAGTCAGGACCATCAGGAAAGGTGACAAGGTAATTTTTCAAAATGCTCGTTACTAAATTAAAGTCTGTGTTGAGGATTCCTTCAGACCTCTGGGACAATGAGGCAGAACAGAAATGCCATTTACTTATTTAGCTACTGTGTCCTTCAGGTGGGGGAGAGGGTGATTCAGTTCAGGATGCAGAAAATTCTGGAAGTTTAAACATAGTAACTAAATCTACATGCTTCCCAGTGCAAGTTTCCAGATGGAAACATGTCATAAAATCTGACTTGCTGGTTTTGAAATGCATTACTGGATTTGTAATCTGCTTCAGTGACTGTTTTACTTTGTCACATAGGCTCTTGTATGAAGAGATTAGCTAACAAAATAAAAAATTAATATTATGAATATTCTCTTTCCTATAGGAGACTGAGCCAGACTTTGATAACTGTGCTGTTTGTATCGAAGGCTACAAGCCCAATGATGTTGTCAGGATATTGCCTTGCAGGTAAATTGAATGTGCTTTTAGCTCTAATAATCTCTACTTCAAGACAGTCTCTGCCCTCATTTTCAAACTGATGAGATTACCTGAGAAACTGGGGAGGGAAGGGTGAGTTTATTATTTTGGCCTATTCCAAATCTGTTGGTAAAGATATCTGAAATGCCTCTTTATTCAACATGAAATGAAACCAGTGATGGTGGTGAGACCTTGAGGGTTTAGTATGGTAGTCAGAAATTTTTTCCGACCTGAGCCTATAACAAAGTCTTCAGTAGGATTTTTTAAACTAAAATTTTGATTAATCTGCTTTCATCACTGTTTTTTTGTTTTTTTTTTTAATTAGAATAAATGCCTTAGGAGAATTTGCCTCTGACTTGAAGGTGAATCCTGGCCACAGCAGCCAGGGATAGAGCAGGCTTCTGCTCCCCATTGAGCTACTTCTTTTGTTATCCTGGGCCTGAGAAAAATATGACTTTTGTCAGAAAAAATCCCCAGCCATAGAAAGAGATGTAGCAAGTAAAATACACCTCATGTGAAATGCCCTGTGCAGCACATCAACCCACAGTGATGTGACACAGGAGTGCAGCCTCTAGCCACTCCTAACAGCTGTATTCATCTTTGTGCTATTGTATTGTAATTTGTGAAGTGTTACCTAATGGAGGGCTTCTCTAAGGAAATCAAATTCTTAGGACATTTCCTAGGATCAGTTGCCCCTAGGAGAACAACAGCAAGGGTTTGATTTCCATAGACATACAGATATGAAGTGCTGCACATATAGAGCAAAGATTATATTTTTTTCAATAGAACTTCTTGTTTCTCCTGAGTCATGTTCACTGGCTTGAGAAACAGAAATACTTTTTTATTTTTCTGCTATGTTTTACCCTAATAGATATTTGAATATTACAAGCTGTCCATTTCTGTTAGTTCATGTGATTCATTGAATCTGTTTACTGCCATCACTAAATGGCTAACACAAAGCAACAGATTAATCATAAATTTGACCTACTGTAAATCCCCCACAATGACAAATTCCATGTGAACTCTTTTTTTTTTTTTTCCTATAAGCAGACAGAAACACATCACTTCATGAAGCAGATATATGGAAAAATGAGAAATTACCAGAAAATGTGGACCTTGGTATGGCATCAATCCTGATTGCACAGAAGCAGAATAAAGCTTGGAAATTTTGCATGATTGAGATAGGCAGTGTTTTGAGGTATATCTACAACAGCTTAAATATATGTCTAAGCTTTAGCTTTCACTTGTGTCCCACCTCGTAATTCAATGAGCCTTTGTTACCCACAGCATTGTGTCAAGCAGAGTGAAAAGGAAACACAGAGTTAACAGGTGGTGTTTAGTTCTTGGCTGACTTAAAAGGTCACCCAGAAAATGACTCATGCTAAAAGGGTAGCAGTAGAAGAGCTGTCTTGTAAAATACCCACAGTTTGAACCTTAGCAGTCTGGAATTATAAAATCTCAAAGATCTTTATCAAGCAGCTATTTCACCAACCCTGGCTTTCCTGCTACACAAACTGCAAGGGCAGTGTTTTCCATACTTGCACGGGTTTGAACTTCTGAAACATGAAATGGTACTCATGATTCTTTCTGCTGTTTTCAAACTCATCTCCTCATCCAAAACAAAAAGGAAAGTGGATTAATTTCTGTTTCTGTGAAGCAAGTAGGAGTGTGTTATATCTTGATAAAGACCCACAGACTGTAGTTTACCTGTGCCAGCATCCTCAGTTAAGCCATGTGCATTTTCTAACATGGGAACCTCATTAAGCCTCCAGTATAGCAGTGGATGAGCTCTGAAGTCAAAAAGTCATGCTTACTGGGACTTGGGCTGTTTTCCCAAATGTCCTTTCTTTTCTGCTGGCACTGGATGCTGTTTTTATGTACCTCACTCTGGAAAGCTCAGAGGAGAATTCCAAGTGCACTTGTGCTTCTTCCTCTCTGTCTTCATCAGGCAGCTCCCACAACTGACTGTAGTAATAAACTTGACTCTACAAAGTGCATTAAATAAATAAGGAATTACACTTGGTAAAAGTAAAAAGTGTTGACTTGCAGCCGGTTTTAAGTTTAACAGTAGCAAACATCTCTGAAGTTGTCTTTAAGGGCACTGACAAAAAATCAAATGTAACCAAGTTTATTCTTCCTGCAGTGACATCTCTTGCCACAGCCCTACTTCATTCTGCTTGTCTTCCATCTCCAGTTTCAAAACAACATTGCCTTTTCTGCTCTAGCTTTGGAGAAGGTACTGGTCCTGCTGTTCCCAGTGTGTGCCTTTTACTAAACTTCTAAACTTTACTAAACTTCTACAGAGAGGCAAGACATTTCTTTCAGCCTTACCTCTGCTAAGTGCCTCATAGTTTTTTTTTTTTTTTCTGTTTCATTTCTTTCACCAATAAACACATTCTCTGAGTTCTTTCCAGCTTGTTCTTTTCTCCTGAACCTTCACGCCAGTGAAACAGAGAATTTTCATTCCTGCTTTCTTTTTATTAGCTTGCTGTGAAAATTATTTTGTCACACACATTCTTCCCTTTGATTCCTTCCTCTCACCCTTATCATCTTCTTTTGTCCTCCTCAGAAGTAAATAACACTGCATATGTGCCTCCCAAAATATCAAACCTTCTTGTTGAATACTACAGTGCTACTCAGTCTCTCACAAAAATTCTACATCCTTTACTTCAGACCTAATCCAGGCAACTGGTGCTCTTATTTAGGGTTATTAGGGATGTAGCTCTCTTTCTGCATAGATGAGACTAGGAGTGAAAGGTGGAAGGAGAATAGTTTCCCTTAATCTGGAAAAAAAGCCTCTCAAAATTATTGGCAAGCTGAACACTTTAGAATAGTTGTACTGAAATCATCATCATCATTATTATTACTATTGCTATTATTACTATTATTGTTATTATTATTTTGGGCTGAGTGCAACATGATTTTTTTTCTTGTATTATTAAAATTGCATCTCCAAAAAAACATAAATACATTTCAAACTAAAGCAACATCTAGTTAAAAAATGTGAAGTGCTGTTTAGATAATAGTAAATTGAATGCTCTGGGACTTTGAGTTTCTTTTCCTTGGTGCTCTGTGAGCTTTGCACAGGCGTGTGCAGTCACAGGAGAGTGCAGGAGGGATCCCAGGAGGCCACCACCTCTGGAAAAGCACAGAGGCACTGGCACGCATGTGTCATTCTTGGCAGCTTTTTCCAACACACTCTGCAGTCTCCCAGGATGAAGATTGCAAACCCCTTGACAATTTATTGCAATGCTTCGTTACCCTGACTGTGGCACAGCCTTTCTTATTGTGTAACCTGGATCTCACTTGCTGCAGTTTAAACAACATCATTGTGCTTCGTATCCCTGGGAGAGGTAGAGAACAGTTGTTTCCTTTCCCTTATGAAAATCTTTTTGTATGAGGTTGTGACAACATCTCGCCTTCCTCTCTGTCAACGAATCAATTGCAGTTCTTTTGAGAAACTTTTCAACCTGTCCAAATCAACATCATTTTGCAATGACTGTGGTTGCACACAATAGGGGGAAAAAAAAACCTGTATTTTTTTCTAGCTTTGACTTTGATTGCCAAAGCCATATCCTGAGCCTGAGCTTGAAACTTGGTCTTACTGTCTTCCTGTATGGGTCATTACTTCTGAAATCACCCATGATGGCTCTATCCTCTCCTTCCATTTAAAATTTGCATCAGTCGGAACTGCAAAGGGAGGGATTTTTGTTGCAGTTGATATTTTTACATCTTTGTCTTACCATGTGACAGTGAAATACTGCAGTTGCTCTCATTTTACTTTATGCTGACCCTTCTTTTGCTTGAATTTGGAACATTAAACAATTGCCAGTATGTTGAATGCCATAAGCATGTACATAGTGCTATACCTAATAAACATTCAAATCCAAATCTGCAAAGCCTGCCACCTTGCTTTTCTGCACAAATGTTTACATGTTCAAAACAGATAAGAGCTCTAATTGTATAATGCAGTACAAAAGACAACTCTTTATCTGATTTTCAGTAGCATTCCATTATTCTGTGGATTTCTGTCAAATAATCAAGTTCCCTCTGATTATTAAATTACATATTAAATCTGAAATTAATGGAGTCATAATACACTGTGCTAAATTAGTATTGAGATGTGCAAAGTGACAAGACCTGTCATGTTTTTAAATTACTTGTCATTGTAAGGATTTATTTTAGAATATTGTTTTTGAAGCCAACTTTAGGAACATTGAACTTTAGATTAAAGTCTTTAAGGCATGCAAGTCAAGCTTTTGATGATGAGCAAACATGAAACTCTCTGATATGAACACCAGTTTGACTGAGGCTGTCCAAGCTGGAAAGGCTTTGAAAAAGCTTGAAAATGAAAGGGGATTTGGTGGAAACTATGTAATTTTTATTGAAAACAGATTTTGGAAATCTGTTTTGTATTCTGAGAGATTAATAAATATCTCAGGTTTTGTAAATGGACCTGATTATTTTGGCGCAAATGTGCTTCAGATGTTTGCCAATATGCATATTTATGAATTTGATAATATAATTAATTTCTTAATAAAGAAAACCAATCACTAACAAGAATTTCAGTATTATTTCATGTAGCTGAAAGGTAAGACATCATGACTTAACATTGAATTAACGAACTCAAGAAAATCTTTTGGTTAGACTTCCAAATGTAAAATTACACATGCCTAAGAATGTTTATCTTTATGCTTTCACCTATTCAGAATGCTTGTCTGATGATGTGCTAAACATGACCCTCCTAAGATAGAAGGAAGGAAATGTTAAGCAGGACAGAGACCAAATTCTGGTTCATTTGTTGCTATCCGTTAGGTCAGGTCGTGTTTGGAAGTACTGCTGTGAACTTCAGTAAGGTTATAAAGTAGTAGCTTAAACTTCAAATATCACAATGCTTCATTTGATTAATCCTGTTGACATACAGGATCAAATGAGATTTGATACCCCAGCCAACTGATATAATTAGACTAGATCGAACTTCCAAGAATATGTTTGCCCTTTCTTATAGTTGTATAAAGTGATACAAAGCACAGGAAGGCAATAATTTGCCGTGTGGTGATACCATGCATCTGCTGACCCATTCAGCTCAATAAGTAGCAGTTAAATATTTAGAGTGACTTTGGTACATTAGGTGACTCTGGCTTTCTCAGAGATTGCATTTCCTTGTAGAGACTGGTATGTGCCGTGCTCCAGGCTGAGCCTTAGGATCTTACAGATATTTAGGTATTTCAAGTCTAACAATAGACCCAGCACTGCCAAGCCCACCACTAATGCGTGTCCTCAAGTGCCACATCCACATGTCATAAAATACCTCCAGATACCACTTCCTTGGGCAGCCTGTCTCAATGCCTGACCACCCTTTGGGTGAAGAAATGTTTCCTAATATTCCCAGTAACAGAATATGCTCGAGAGAGAGAATACAGTCTGCCATACACACATTAAAGATCTCTACAGTCATTATCAGTTTGTTAAAGGCAAAGCTAAACAAAAAATGTTCAGTTGCTCCACCTGATTAATGTCTAGGAAAAGCAGTGCCCAGCAGCTACAGGGCTCAGGTAGTTGCTTGGTGGTCACTTCATCCTCAGAACAGGATTAACAACAATTCCTTCAGGGAATTGTGTAGGAGCTCTCTCTGATGAGCAGCTTCTAAAGAGTGGAGAAGTCAGAGAGAATATTTGTAAAAGCATTGTACTGTTTTTTCTGTTTAAATGAAAAGTATCTTTTTTTTTTCTAATTCAATTTATTTCTTTATTACTCTATCCTGAAAAATACTAGACCCTCAATGTCTTCACATTTAAATGATGTGTAATCAGGTTTGTCTGTAGAACTATTAAGAAAAACTAACATGATTTTTACCTTTTCCAGCAAGCAGCTTTTGTTTACTGGCAGCCTTTAACATTTAAAGAATATCAGGTTTGCTAATGCATTTTGTATATTTTCACTAACTCTCTAAATAACTACATCTTCTATTCCAAACACATTGAAATGTGCACATGTGCACATTGAGTTGCTGCAGGAATCATTTTAGTCCTGTGTGTAGAACCTAGTTCTGCAGTCCTTGAAGAGGTCACAAACTGCACCAGTTGAAATACTCTCACTTAAAAGAATTCGGAATCATCTGGCACTAAGTGGTAAATTGTGCTGTGGTGCATTTGAATTAAGATATCCTGGTTTTCATTGCAGGCATCTTTTCCACAAGTCCTGTGTAGACCCCTGGCTGCTAGACCATCGTACCTGCCCGATGTGTAAAATGAATATTCTAAAAGCTCTAGGGATTCCGGTAAGCACTTTGCAGAGCAGCCCATCAGGGCAGAAGGGAAACACCAGCCACCTGACTATAGCCCTAACCTTTGTCTGTCTGTTCCCATCTTACTCTTTTTGCCATATTATTGAATATTATAATATAATATAATTATAATAATTTTAATTATATATTATCATATAATTGATCATTATAATATATAATTATATAATATATATCATTATAATGTAATTGTATATAATATAAATACAATAGATATAATATATAATATATATAATTGGTTATTATTAACCTCTGATAATAAGTATAACCTCAATTAATTATTATCTACCTCTGTCCTGCACCCCACTCGTATTAGCAAGGAGGAATGTCTGTATGGGTGTTGGTTGAGTGTTGGGATTTGCGTGTCTGTGGCTGCCTGCTTGGTGAAGCAGAAGGTTGTTCACTGGTGTTTTGGTGGATTTATAGAATTTTTCACATGGTTTTCAGGACTGGATTTATTTTTTAAATCATGTCGTTGGTTCAAATCTGAAAGCAGGAAGTCTGCAAATAAAATTTTCTTTGCTACACTCACCAAGGACAATTGCTCATTCTGGGGAAGCAAGTCCTTTTTCTGTCAGATTTCTCTTAAAGTCTATCTGAAGCAAGGTCTGTACTCCTAATTCCAGTTAAGGGCCATTTCTCCTTTATTAAGCATGTGATGGAGCACATCGCATACCAAAAATTATTAAGCTTTTTGTTATTTGGAGCATTCAAATGTGGTTAGAAACTGCCAGAGTAATTGATCTTTTTAAGTCGCCTGTTTGCATTCAGATAGTGTATGTCCTGTCTGCCATACACCGTCTGCCAGCTGGAGCTATCACAGAGCTCAGGGCTTCACTAGGAGGGAGTGAGTCACTCTCCTCCACTGTGCAAGGCTTGTGATGTTCAATACCAAAACACCTCCAGCTGATGCCTTGCCAGGTGCTGTAAACATCCCCCCGATGCACAGTCAGTGATGCACCAGTTCACATTTGAAAGAGCTTTATAAAGTAAAATAGCTCACGTGGACATATCGAGGAGCGGATATAGCCATTCTCAGAGAAATCAGTTTCACGGAGACAAGGACGCAGGTTGCAGGCTGATATGTTAATAAACCTAATATAATCCAAACTGAAAACATGCAAAGGGGAAAATGAAGGAGGGCATTGTAGCTAGGGTAATGCATCAAAACACTTTGGCTACTTTTTCTGCTAAACATGCATATTGTCTTTAATATATTTAGAGGCGATGCAACTGTTAAATCAGTGCTTAAGATGACAAGCCCAAATGAAGGCTAGCTCTGCCATGCAGTATCTCTGCACCTAGACTTAAATACAGAAGTATTTCCCCAGGTTTTATCTGAGCTCACAGGCTGCCATGAGCAGTTACACAGGGTTCTGACACCTCTTCTCCCTACCCAGTGTATTGTTCCATGGCTTCCCTGTGCATCTGACAGCACCACACCATTTCTGCTCTCACAATGGCCCCTTCACATTTTTATCCAAGCACTTCATTAATGTGTTCTTTGTCCTTCATAATCAGGGGATACAGGCAAACCAGAGCCATGCTTTCTGGAGGCCTGCAGTGAGATGTTAAAGGCTCTCCAGAAAGTTTAGTGCTATTAGAATTTGCATCCAGGACATGGCTCTCACTGGCTTCACTGGCTGCTGCTGAAGGCTAAGCATGTCCACAGGCTGTTTGAGGCTGGGCACAGCTAGTGGAACAAGAAACATGCCCAGAGGCCATGTGTAAAATTTTTGGTTTACATGGCTGGATTTCACTGCCTATGAACAGCTCTGTAGTGGCAGGTGTAGGAATAATTGAAACACCACTACATTTCCTCAACCACTGTTTCCCTTCTCATAGCTCCCTTTCCTCTGCTGTACAGTACAGGAGAACAGTGATCTATCCTTCTCTCCTCACTGAGAGCTTTCTGCTTGGAGCTTCTTTGGAAATAATTGTACCGAGCATGTAATTAAAGATGCTGATGTAACTGGTTCAAATTAAGTTTTCCAAATCAGCTTTAGTGTTGGTCTGTCTTAACACTAAAAATAAAGCACTTGAGAACTTGGATTTTAATGTTCCACTAGCAAAGTATTTTTAGGGGATTTTATTGTATGAATTTCTGTAAAAATTTCCTTTAGGTTGTTCTAAGACAACAAGCTGAAAACAGCTCTCTTCATCTCTTGGATGAAGCATGTTGGGGTACATGGATCATTGGATATGTTCATGAAGGGAGAGTCTTATCCCTCAAAGTGACTTGTAGTAGGAGATGCTGTCCATGAGAAATTGGAGTAGATGGTAGCCTATGTGTCACGTTTCCTCTGGTTTACAGCAAAGGAAGTGAAGGTATAAGATCATCTGGTAGCTTGAGGGTTAAAAACTCCTATACTGCTATCAGTTGCTGCTCCTCCTCTTTTTTTTCTACCTTCTCTTTCTGAAATACACCTCAGCTCCTGTTCGTTCTTTTCCTACCTTATGCTCTTTCCTCCTTCTCCTCTGCATAACCCCTCCTGCCCAGCCTGTGTCCTTTTGAGCTCCTGCTCAGCTCCTAGGACCTGTTTTCCACCTGCACAGAAATCATATTGTCCTCACCCCTCTCACTGCCTAGCTGAGGACAGCCCAGGGTGGACATCATTGCTAAGGTGTGATTTCTGGTCCTCCTATGAGCCAAAAAAGCCACCAGCACACATGAACTACTGTTTTTAGAGACTCATCACTTAGCCAGGTGTCCATAGGCTGCTGGGGGAAAAGATGTTGACCTCAAAGAACCTATGAAGTTCTAGGGCTTCTCAGTGAGAGGTGGCAAAGATCTCTGTAGAGTGGATGAAGCAAAATGTCATTTCCTAACCACATTCTTGAGTCTCTCTGAGCTCTCTTAGCTGAAATTTCCACACACAAAAGAAGAAAAAAGCCTTAGGCAGGCATCAGCCTCTGATGGGAGATTTGGGTACAAATTTGCCAAAGTCCTTTTGCAGGCTTTTACAATGGGAGGAATGAGGAAATCTTACCATAGATAGGCTATGGGGGATTTTTTTCCTGCCAGCTGCATGTTTGTCCTATGGTTGTTATTAAAGACCTGGCTTGTGAGTCTGTAGCTATAGTGTGCTTTATTTAGCTGGAAGACTTTGTATTTTCCAGGAAAGGATTGGTTAAACCCCAAATATCAAAATGTTTCAATTCAGTTCACAATTAAACTCTGCATTTAGCTTGTAATAGAGAATTCAAATATTATCTACCTTAAACTCAGATTCCCCAGGCAGCCATGAGGCACCAAAACTCCTGCACTCCTTTTCACAATTGCTGAGCACCCCAACACCTCCACTTCTCTCTGCAGCTCCAGAAGATTATTAATTATCTATCAGCATATGGTTGGCCTTACCTTTTCCACTCTTTGCTGGCAAATCCAGCTCAGACTACACCTGCAATATTTGAAATGGGTTACCACTGAAAGTGTCTTTCAAAGAGCTACATTGCTATTGGGGCAATCATATCACATAAAATAGTTTCCCTCTGCTTCTCCCTCTTTCCTGCAAACATCTGCTGGATATGCAGTCAGCTGCATTTTTGGCAGCACATTGTATGACTTGAAGCTATTAACTAAGAGCCTTAGCCAAACCCTCTGAAGTCAATACAAAGCTTTCCTTTGACTTTAGTGGAATTGTGCTCTCAAAGCACTTACATGCAGGGCACAAGTAAAACCAATATAATTAAACTTAGAACTGTGTCTGGGTCACTCTGGTTGCCAAAGCCATAATGGTTTGGTTTTTGGGGTTTTTTTTTTCTGATCAGCATTTAATATAAATAGTTTTATAGCATGCTGCTTCATTTGGGGCATTTTTTATAATTAAAATTATTCAGGAGTAAAGAGATTAATTATATCAAGTAATATTTTTTTTCATCTTTAATGTTTGGTTTTACTTTCAATTATAATCCCCCTCTTTAGAAGGTTTAAAAGTTTGTGATAGAACCCCATTGTAGGAATAACTGGAATCAGAGCAAAGGACAGACTACCAGTCCCCTGAAAAATTGAAATAATTTTGCCTATAGGAGAAAGGAAAATAGGCCTTTTGTTTTTAATATACACTGCCATCAAATATGAAATAAATTAAAAATGAAAATCTGAAAACATTATAATAGCTAAGAGAGTGAAAGAGTAATAGATCTAAGGGTTAATTTTGGCTCCCTGTCCTACAGATAAGTGATTGGTACTTCACTTGGAAAAGTACAGATTCAGTGAATTTCATTAACACCTGGTATAGCTGAATGTGCCTTTTTTATCCCAAATCTGAGGTATTCTTGCTGCTTGTGGATTAGATTGGAGCCAGACAACAACAGTTCTAGTTTTCATTCCAAACTTCAGTTTGTGGGTACAAGACTTCTTAAATTGCCTGTCTTTTTCATTAGGAACACTTGTGAAAAAAATACTCAAGAAGTGACAACAATCTGACAGGGAATGTGTTAAAAAAGAGAAAACATGTTAAGTTCCTGATTCTGGGGAAAAAAAAAAAAAAAGTAAACATATGGTAACCTTCAGTACTTGAATTCAAGGAGATTTCTCATGTGCTTAAAGTTAAATCTCTCTTTAAGCCTTTGCTGTATCATATTTTGCTTAGTTTCTTCATGCCTGCTGTGGAGATAAGCAGATAGTGAGATTTTCCAAAGTGCCTTGGCATGTGAGACAACTAAGCATAGGAAAAAAAAATCAGATCCACCAAACAGAGTACACCTCCTCTGACACTGGCCGTTTGAATGTTGAGTTTTCAGTCTACCAGTGTAAGCCCTGTCTCTGCTTAGTGCTGAGCAGAGGGAGCAATTCATACCTACAGCTAAGGGATTAATCACATAGCAAAAATGTCTCAAACCCCTGAAGTTACAGGAAACCTAAATGACTGATCCAGACTAGCTGTCTGGTTTCTGGAGAATAAAGATAAATGGAAAAAAAATTTACCTTTTCTTACTTTTCCAGGGCCCTGCATATTGCAGCTCAGTCTTGCTATGTCTCTGTCACTGCTCTTGCATCACATAGCAAGAAAAACTGTGAATCAAAAAATCCTCTTCAGTTTCCCATTATTGTCTACTTGTTTCTTTTCTCATAATTGTGTTTTGTAGGAAATACAGTATTAGTAAAGATGATCTTTTTATGTTTAGAGACTTGTTTTATAAACAGTTTTAGCTTCTAGTTTTGCACCACATGCATAGATGCACACACAGGCAGTTCTTATTGAATTCTTTTTCCTGTAAGTTCAGATACTGGCTCTGTAAAGTGTATATTTGAAAAAAAAAAATAATTTTAAAATATAATTGTTCCCCTTCAGCTCCTGTCTCTGTTTACATTTGTGGTCTGATTCAGCAATCTGCCTATGTTGAGCAGATCATACCAATAAGTTAATTACTTTTTTAATGTGCACATTCCCAAACCTTTTTAAAAGTATAAATAAGAATGTTTAGCAATTGTAGGTGACACAGTTTAATACTCAATATTCCCATGGCATACTTTGGGTCTCTCTTCCAACAGATTGTATTAAGTACATGAAGACAAACACTGTGTGTTTATTCATTTTATGTTGTCATTTCAACACTGAAATAAAGCCAAAAAAAAAAAAAAATCTGACAAAGAGGTAAGAAGTAAGTTGAATCTTTTTATCAGGTAGAATCCCGATTTTCTCCTTTTTCTTCCCATTAGCCAAATGCAGATTGCATGGATGATATACCTCCGGACTTAGAAGCATCCATAGGAGGACCACCGACCAACCAGATCACAGGAGCCAGTGACATTACAGTGAACGAGAGCTCGGTGGCCCTGGACCCCCCGGCCCGGCCCGTGGGAGCGCTGCAGGTCATCCAAGACGTGGGCTCCTTTCCCCAGGCTGGCGAGGGTAACTTCACAACAAGCAGTAAGTTCCAATTTCTGGCGGGATTTGCACTGAAATAAATGTCTAGAAACTCCAGCCACAAACCCATCTCTAGTGAGCAGCCCTTTGAGGGCTTCTCATTGGAGCAATGGCCTTATTTTAAGGCCAGAAGGAATCTGAAGGGTAAGTAAATTTAATTATCATGTGTTCTGCTGTACTGGGCTGATGGTCAGAGTTCCTGTACTTGAAAGCCTGAGTGCAGTTAAACAGCACTGATGATTTGTACAAGGAAAAGGAGAATTTTACTTGTGTAAGGTGTGTAAGTGGTACCATTTGAACAAGTAATCCTCAAAATGTCTGCATGTCTCTCTGTTCCTAAAAATTATGTTCTCTGTTAAAAATCTGACAGTTTAAAAGGATTCTTGTCAGCTGTTTTGAGTGAGGACTGTGCTAGTCTAAAATTCATATTTTTAGGCAAAATAGCAGATCAGTAGAAGATACCTATGTGGTTGATAACAGTTGGTATATTGACAAGACTATTATAGAAAATCATCAGATACACTTGAAGAGAGGTAGAAGAATGTAATAAAATACAGTTTTGTGTATAGAGATTGTTTAGGTTGTGGAAAAAATATACATTTCCAGTGGTTTCTAGGTACTGCTATGGGCCTGAGCATGAAAAAGGAGGTAAGTAATAATATTATGTGTAAAAGGTAGGAGAGACATGATGACAGCTAGGCTGAAATGATTTTACATTACTCTACCTACTCTGTGGCAGACTTGATAATCCCATTTTCTCTCATGTTGTCATGCCATGTCATGGAAGTGAAAATAATTTCTAGAAAGACTGGACATGTGGCCTTAGATACTGGTGGCCCAGATTTTTACATTCTGTTTTGTGGATTTCAGGTTTCAGGTTTGGTCCTTTTATGGTGTAAGTTCTGGATCCAGCAAGGAGTGAGTAGCAATGTTATAATCCCAGCCATCTTCCATGGCTAGCCTGCCAGCTGGGGACATTCAGTTTTCTCAAGTCTCCTTGAGTGCTGGCAAGAGCTGTTCAGAACAAGATGGGATTTTGTTCCTTCCAGTAATTGTTTTTAAATGCATTTAAGGCTGATTTTAAAAACAAAGGAAAGGTGGCACCACACTGTAATAGAGACTGGGTGAAATGCTGGTCTCTGCTCTGCCCTTCAGCACTCCAGAAGCAAGTAGATCCTCTCATGGCTAATGATCCTTGCCCCACAGTTCTCTGCAGGATCCAGGCAGGGAAGGAGGGCTGTGGGGTGCCCCTTAGACACACAGCTGCAGGACACATGCTGGGAAAAGGCAGCAGCCTGGTCCCAAGCTCAGCATGGGGAGCAGTCTGTGCTTTTCATCCCAGGATCTTGTCAGGCTGAGAACCTCTCTTCTGGTTTCTCAGGCATAGCAAAGGTGTTGAGGGTGCCAGGGGGCACAAGAGCTCAGTAGCTCTCCAGGCACTCTCTTCCCTCCAGATTTGGTTCAAGAGTTTGCAGAAGGACAAAATACTTTTTTAATTGATTTTCCAAGTTGCCAGCTAATTTAAGTAACTGGGCGAAAAGATTTCTCAGAGCCAGCAGAATACTGCAAGGCTAAAAAGATACCTGATTTTGCCTTGGTGCGCTTTGTTTTCCACCTTATCTTCTATTTTCCCCCTTACCTTTGATAATATTGGACCATAGGCCTGAAGACTGGACAATTCTGAGGGCTGGCAGCAGAGCCCACAGACAAGGAACTTGCACCAAGACCAGGCACACAGACAGCAAACTATGGAGCATCAGGAGATTGTCTCCTGAAGAGACTGGCCAAGCCCAGGGAAGGACTGTGAAAAGAGCTTTGTTCCTGTTTATAATTCTGGTTATATGAGAGAGAGCAAGAGAAGAGAGCAGGGGGAGAAAACTGGCAGGTTGAAGGCTGTAAACCTCACGCTGTCAGAGGTGTGGGTGGGGAAGCCAGCCTTTCCAGTGGCTTTGAGAAGAAGGAAGGCCTGAGGAAAGCTCAAAGCACTTTGGGACCTTCCAAAAGCGAATGTATCCCTGCCTCTGCTGTGGTTGTCACACAGTCACTCAGGGAAATCTGCTCTACTACTTAGTTAGCTGCTGTCGTTCATTCATCATTGACATGAAGACATGAATCTTCATCTGGATTTCTCATCTAAAGGGCAATGCAGTACTTGAATATTTGTCAGTGATGGATGTGCAAGTTTCCCTGCTGTCATCACCACATCCAGTGTGGTGCATTTTACAGTAGTTCCCAGAAAAGTCACTTAGTCCCTTTTTGCAGCAGAGCTGCAGCAAAGAAGAGGTCTTTGCCTGGGAGTTAGGCAAGCTGAGTTACAGCAGTTATGGGAATTTGACTCTCTAGTTGCCTCAAGTAAATTTGGAGGGTTCAGGCAGTCTGAAAGGTAGAACCTGGCATAGCAGGCAACTTGAACTCTTAAGGCAGTGAACAGAGAACATCCAGGACCTTATATATAGTTGTGGTATGAATCCGAATGCTAACTAAATCAGAGGGCAACTGTAGGCTAAATAACTGGGTCATAGCTGTCAGAGTAGATGGAACTTTATAGGCATTGTGTGTGTTTATTGTATTTCTCATATCCAGAATGCTCAGTTACACAACCACAGAGCTTGCTGAGAGTGCCCTTTCTGTGAACTAGCCTGCCTGGGAATTTGTAAGTTATGACACTGATTACTCCTAGGAAACTTTGCTGAAGTTGCTAGGTTCTGGCCTCGTTATATAGCATTACTGATGTGAGCCTACTCCAAGGCTCAATATGCACTACAAGTTTTTTCCTCCTTGGTATTGAATCTGTGCAGACTCCGAGACTCCAGTGCAGCCTTGATGTGGCCTATTGTACCCATCATCACAAGTCCTTGCATCCTCCCTTGCTCCTCAAAGTTCAGTGGTCCAGGAGGTAAAGGACTTGCCACCTTCTTTCCACCCACTTCTGCAATGCTTTTCACTTCATTGTTGTTACATTATTTTTTTGTCTGTCGATTAATCATTCTGGTATTGTTGTCTTGGTTTGGGTTTAGTTTCCCATCCTGTGTTTCCAGTGATTATTCAGAGCCAGAAGACCTCCCTCAGTGTGTCTGGAGGGAGGATATTCCCAGAATACTGTTCACATTGGGTAAAATTCTGTCTCCATGATGGCAAACCTGCTTACTTCAGTGGGGTCAGATTTTAACTTCTGAAACTCAGCCAGTGCTTTTCTTCTTATTTCTGTGTGTATGCTCAGCAGACATCTCGCCTTCTCTCCCTCCCTTTTGCTCCCCATGCTTCTGATATCTGTGGAACCCTTGGAAATGTAGTGTACTGTGAACATCTGGATGGGACTAAGCCCTAGAGTTCCTTGCTAAACCAAGAATCTCCTGTTAACAGCACTGAGCACTTAAAAATGGACCAGCAGTTTCTCTCAGCTGCCCTTTAGCAAGATCCAAGCCTTCATCAAGTCTCTTGGGCATATCCACAGCCCAAAGTCTTTTCAGTGTTTAGTCTTAATGATTGTTTGCTGTCTGTGGTGAGATATTGTGTAGGATCCTGGGATAGCATGTTGTAATTTCTGTAACAGGTTGCTGAAAAGGTATTGATGGAAAAAAATGAAAAACTGTAGTTCTGGAAAAAAAAAAAAAAAAGGGGGCGGGGAGTGGACAGGGGGAAATAGTGTGAAATACGTAAGAGTTCATCTCAGCTGAGTTTACTGCTCTGACTTTATTGCCTCTCCAGAGCATATGACAGATGACAACCTAAGGATCTTTTTCTACAATAATGCATCATATCAATCTGTGGCACCTAATTTTTAGTAGTGAGTTATGCAAAATGCTAACATTTTTAGAAATCTCAGTGCAGGTGGAATTTCCTGCTCTACATATGGTGTGAGTGTGAGCTGGACTTGGCTGAGATCTGGACTTGAAGGAGCTTTGAGCTATACCAGCTTCAGAGGGGGGATCTAAAATGTTCGGAGACCATTGCAATATTCTTTGGGTCAGGCTCAGCTGGGATTTATATGTTTAAAAAAGGTAGTTTTCTGGGAAAGTAACATCTAGATATTCTAAAGGCATGGTAACACTGGCAGGTGAACAGTAGTTATTAGATTTTATTCTTTTATAGCATCCATGGTCATTTATCTCCCTCAAGCACTTACTAATTTCTGCAGTAAATAATGTGCACTGTCTTTGCCATCTCTTTGTAAATACTTCCTGTTTTTCAATTTAGACAAGCTTTTATATTCCATTCAGTGGGCTGTCTCATCCCACTGCATGGGGCCTCAGAAATCCCACTAGTACTATCTCTGTAGCTGGAGGAAGGTCCATAAATAATTCTACTGAACACACAAGCAGGATGTTAGTGTGAAAAACCACAAACTTTTCCCCAAGGTGTCATATTACCTGCAAAGTCCACAGAGTTTGGCACACTGTAAAACAGTGTGGACAGTCTATACAATATCAGTAGTTCCTTTCTGCCTCTCATTTTGTTCTTTCCATAAAACCCTCCCAAGGTATAGCTCATCATGACTGTTAGGAGGCTTTAAAATCTCTCTGATAGCTCTTCACTGCTCTTCATTAAATCTATTAATATAACTTTTCAAGTAATTATTTTGATCTATATATGTCTAAAATGCCTTTGTGAAGAATAGTCAGGCTTTGGAAGTGGATTAAAGTGCATGATAAGAATATAATCCACTGTTGTCTTGTAACCACTTGACTGTTCCTCCTTGCTATGAATAGTGGGGTTTTATAGGTGGAATGTAAAGAGGGAGGAAAAGGTGGAAAAACTCTCTAGATACTAGTTAATACAGCAAGTTTTTAACACTTGCATTAGCAAGTCCTAATACTGTCCCAGAGAGAGAATTCTGATGGGACCTAGTTAAAGACTGAGCAGATTGGGTCCCATGTGCCTGCTGTGTGATGTAAGTCCTGGTGGCTCTTGTGAGGATATTGCACTAAATAATTGTCATGGACCAAAACTTCCAATGAGCTAAGTTCCTAGATTGTTTTGGGACTAACACTGATGCCAATATA